ATATCAGATAAAGGGCTAGTATCCAAAATCTATAAAGAACTTATCAAACTCAACACCCAAAGAACAAATAATCCAATCAAGCAATGGACAGAAGACATAAACAGACATTTCTGCAAAGAAGACATCCAAATGGCCAACAGACACATGAAAAAGTGCTCATCATTACTCGGCATGAGGGAAATACAAATCCAAACCACAGTGAGATACCACATCACATCAGTCAGAATGGCTAAAATTAACCAGTCAGGAAATGACAGGTGTTGGTGAGGATCCAGAGAAAGGGGAGCCCTCCTACACTGTTGGTGGGAATGCAAGCTATTACAGCCACTCTGGAAAACAATATGGAGGTTCCTCAAAAAGTTGAAAATAGAGCTACTCTATGACCCAGAAATTGCACTACTGGGAATTTATCCTAAGGATACAAATGTAGGGATCCAAAGGGACACATGTACCTGAATGTTTATAGCAGCAATGGCCCCAATAGCTAAACTATGGAAAGAGCCTAGCTGTCCATCAACAGATGAATGGATAAAGAAGATGTGAGATATATATATATATATATATATATATATATATATATTCCAGCCATCAGAAAATGAAATCTTGCCATTTGCAACAAGGTGGATGGAACTAGAGGGTATTATGCCAAGTGAAATAAGTCAATCAGAGAAAGACAATTATCATATGATCTCTCTGATATGAGGAATTTGATAGGCAGGGTTGGGCAGTCATAGAGGGTAGGGAGGGAAAAAAATGAAACAAGATGGGATCGGGAGGGAGACAAACCATGAAAGACTCTTAATCTCACAAAACAAACAGAGTTGCTGAGGGGGTGACAGGGGAGGGATCAGGTGGCTGGGTTATGGACATTGGGGAGGGTATGTGCTATGGTGAGTGCTGTGAAATGTGTAAACCTGATGATTCATAGACCTGTACCCATGGGGCTAATAATACATTATATGTTAATTTAAAAAAAAGAGAGAAAATCATTCTGTTCTTACTGAATCTACAGGCCAGTGATAAGGCCACAGTTTCATCCTCGGGACCAGTTTGGAATAGGAGCAGGCAATGGTAGTCATTAATGGAGGAAAGATCCCCAGGAAAACTGCTGTTGGCATTGAATAAGATGGAGTAGTGGGAACTGAGCTGGTTGTAATGTTTAGCCGCAGGCTAGAGAAACAGACTTGAACAAGAGCAGAACAGGAGAAAAACAGTGATGCAAAGAAGCACAGACACCGAGTAGAACTTGTTGTAATTCACCAGACCAATTTCTCCTTCTGTACAGTTTGTGATTCCGTTACTAGTCAAAGAGGCTGGTTCCATTCCTCAAGAAGTATTTACGAAATTCGTACTATTTTTTTTTCCAGCAATGTGATCAGGGTTGAGAGAAATAGAAAAGCAGTATAAGGCAGACTTTGCTCTTGGGCTCACAATCTCTTACAGAAAGAATACAGTAGACAAAAATCTAAGATCACATATGAATACATCCCTAGGTGGACAAAACAGGTACCTGCTACAATATGTTAAGACCCAAGAGACACTGATTCATTTGTTCATTCTTGCAAATACTTATTTGTTGACTCATTGTTTGATAGACATTTACTAAGCAGCCACTGTGCTGAAGAAGATCATAAAGGATAGGGAGCTCAGGAAACTACATGCCTGCCTTCAAGGAGCCTCTACTTTAAAACTGGTGTCAGTCTGTATGAGAACCACTCTGAGACAGGGCAGAACAGGATCATGCTTTACAGGCGTCCTCAGTGTTAACATTAGCAGATGGATCTGAGTAGTTCTGAGTGGCTTTCTGAGGGTGGTGGAATCTGATTTGATTTGAAGCCTCGGTATAGTATAAATGTATGGGGGTAGGGGACGGGAGGCCAAGGAGGAAACTCGCAGAAGTGGAAATGAACATGGTTTGCATTTTGTTTATTCATTGATTCATTGAACAGACTTTGTTTTTTAGAAATATCCGTTGTGTGACTTAAAGAGGAATAAGAAATCATCCCTTCTCTCAATGGGTAGTCTAATGGGGGAGGCAGACGCTATTTTTTTTTTTTTTTTTAAAGAAGATTACAGTGTAGTAAGTGTAACAACCGAGGTATAAGTGAAGTAGTAGGCAGAAGGCTGTAATGAGGTGGGGGCTCGGTGGGTGACAAGGGAGTCAGTGTACCACAGGCACAAAGGATAGCAAGTGCAAAGCCTCCTTAGGAAGCACACTGCCTAAGCCAGTATATAAGGGCAGATGAAGAATGATGGGAAATCGGTTAGTTAGGCAGGTAGAGATCATATCATGAGGGCACTTACCTCATGCTACGGAATTTGGGCTTTGTACAGAGGAAAGGGAATCAGTAAATTTTTCAGGGGAAATGACCTACCCAACTGCATTTTGGAAAGATAATGATAACAGTGTCTTATATTATTTGGGTAGGGCTAGCTGTGTTTTACAAGCCTCAACCTCCCAATAACCTTTATCACCTCCAGAGAAATATACAGACTTGTCCACGTTCACTCCAGGAGTAAGGAGTAGAAGAAGCTTTTCTGTCCACTCCTATACACTGCTACTTCTCTGACTGCAGTGTGGGAGGGATGGGAAGGGAAGAGGCAGAGCTATAGTCAGAACTCAAGATAATAAGACCAGAACTAAAGCAGTGGGGTGGGAGTATAGAGAAAAAGACAGAGTCAAAATTATTTAAGAAGTAGGCTCTCCTGGGCATCGTGAGTGGCGAGAAAAGGGGAAAAGGGCTAGAAGGACCCCCAGGTCTCTGCTTCCACAAATGTGTTTCTTGTGGCACCAGCTCTGGAGGGGAACTATAGCAAGTAAGGGAGGCAGGTATGGTGGTAACGGGTGAGGCAGCTGTGGGACACCCAGTGAAGACCCCAGTGGGTGAGGTATAGACCCAGCAGCAATCAGGAGCCAGGCAAGGCTGGAGCAAGAGACAAGCAGTTTGTGAGTCTGGCCAAATGGGCAGGGATGAGTAGACTGTAGAGAGCCCCGATGACAGGATAACATATGGATTTGAGTTTGAAGGCAGTAAGGAGTCACTGAGGCCCTTTGGTTAGGGAAACAACATGGTCAGTAACAGCTTTTTAAATGTCAAGCCTTGAACGAAAATACCCAAGAACCAAAAGATAACTTATTTCTAGCCTCCATTCCACTCCTTGGTGGGGAGCTCCATGCTCAGAGTGGACACCTAGAGCCCTGGGCCTCAGCAAGCACTGGGGAAGGAGCTGGCGCTCGGGCAGAGTCACCCTCCACGTGGCGCTCCTGAGACGTCATGGTTCCCAGGTCTGCAGGCAGGCTCCCTGAAGCTCCTGGCCTTGTGCAGCTCATAAGGCCTGCAAGGGCCTCCCGGTCTCTCCTGGTAAAAGGCCAGAAGAGTCCCAGCTCCTCTCTCCGTTTGTCTTGTTCCTGGGATGACCTGGTGACTGGAAGGTCTGATGTATAAGTAGAGAAGATGAAAGGAAATGTTGAGTAATGAGATGGAGTGGCCAATACTAATATCTTGCGATAATAACCTGCCACATAATAAAAATCCTATTTTAGGAAAACCAGTTCACAACACTGGGCAGGGTCTAGTGGAGTGAGGAGAGGCCAGAGGAAACAGGGAGAGCACCTGAGAGACCCCTGTGGTCATGAGCTATTGCGTGGGCCATATGTCGTTACTCTTGAACAAGACAGGTGTGAGCCGCATGGGTCCGCTTATATGTGATGTGGACAGTACAGAACTAAAATGTATTTTCTTTTCAGTATGATGTTCTAAATAACGTTGTCTTTCCTTTAGCTTCCTTTATCGTAAGAACACAGCGCATAATACATGTAACAAATGAAATATGTATTAATCAACCGTCTGTGGTATCAGGGCTTTCCGGCCAACTGTAGGCTTTTGGAGAAGTCAAAAGTTTTACTTGGATTTTTAACTACGGAGACGCTCGGTGACCCTAACTCCCATGTTGTTCAAGGCTCAACTGTGATTTAGACTGGGCTTGCCCCTCTCATTGGATCCTCACAGGGACTCTGTCGGTTGATCTTAGGATCCACATTTTATAGATAAGGCCAAGAAGAGACGTTAAACAGTTTGGACAAAACCACCTTGCTAGCTTAAAACCTTGGTCTTGCGTTGAAAACCTTTAAGAGAAGGAGCATCCCTTGTGCATTCACACACACACCACCCCCCACCAACGCACATCCCACGGCACCAACTTCCCTCTCTGGGAGTATGATGCCTAAACATCAGAGCCTAAAGGTGCCCGTGGAGGTTCTGTCTTGAGAGAACATCCCACTGGGAAACAAGGCAGCAAGCCTGAAAGCATTCCTCTGGGCTTTGGAAGGGACTTCCCACAGAGAGCTGCTTCCAGCCGCTTTCGCACTGCCTTCCGCATCGCAGGGCCTCCGTGTAACTTCCCTGTTGGGGCCCCTCGTACAGCCGGCGCCGACACCCGGCTTCTGATCCACGCTGAACGAGTCCCGAGTACACGCTCTCAGAATCGAAGAGGCAGGTGTGGCCCCCCTGACGCTTTGAATAGGAACTTGTTCAAATCATGTAGCCTCTCTAGGCACAGTTTTTCAAAGGAGTGGTTTATAATGTCTCATAGGCAGCAGGAGTGAGGGGGTGGATTGGGAGAGGAAGGAGGAAGTACTGATGGGGCAGGCAGGGAAAGAGACACCTTCCTGGATCAGAGCAGCAAAGATCAAAGGAGAAGGGGTGATCCTCACTTCTGGAGATGAGAGGCTGGGAGAGAATGCCTGAGTAGGTAAAGGAGAGAAAGAAATGAGATGTGGCAGGTGGAGCCCTCTCTAGAGAGAACCAGAAGAGGTTTCTATTTCCCCAAAGGAGTCTGGTATTCAGGGCTCGCTTGCCCCGCCCTCCGCAGCCACCTCCACTCCCTCCCAGCAACTGCTTCTGGTCCCCAGCCTCTTTGGCCTTCATCCCTCCCGCAGCACCCTCTCCTCCTTTCCATCTATGGTTTATGCATTCTTACCCCTATACATCTACTCACCACGGCTGCCCTTCCTGGATGACTCTCTGTCATCGATCAGAATCAAATGTAAATGCTGAGTGGTAAGTTTGACTTGGACCTCTAGCCAGGATTCCACATTACCTACCCCATGCTTCTCTGACTCTAGCTCACATCAGAATTGCCTGGCAGGGGTGTGGGGGTGGGGGGAGACTTTTTTAAAACAGAGTGCTGGGATCCCCAGTTCCAAATTCAGCAGGGCTAGGATGGGACCTGAGAATTTATGTTGCTAGTCACAAATTCCTAAGTGATGCTGATGCTGTGGTCTGAGGACCACTAATCTAGATCATTCATGTAGCCTTAATCATGCACTGCCCTGAACGGATACCTTAATCGAGTGTGTATATCCCGCCTCCCAGACGAAACTGAATGGTTCAAAGGCAGTGGTAAGTACTTGACTGTAACATACCTCCCACCCCACCTCCACCCCCGTAGTACCTAGCTGGCATATTCTGAGCAGGTACCCAGACCCACTATAATTTATTAATTGGTGGGAGAGGTTAGTATTGATTTTAGATAACATTATGAAATAGGTTGTCCACAGGAGCCTCCCATGTTCCTCTCCTCCTTTCCTTGACCAATTTCTGTGCCACTCACTCTTCCTCCTCGGCGCTGAACCAGACCTCCCAAACCATATGACTGTTTTACAAATCTGGAGTTCTACCATGTGTCCCTCAGAGTCTATCAGCAATTCTTAGAAGCAGTCGGGCTGAGGAGAAAAATGAGGCAAGGCATTAGCCAGGAAGAGTATTGAAGCCCAGGAGGCCTTTTTAAATTTTATTTTATTTTATTTTAATTTATTTTACTTTGATCTTATCTTAAGATGAGGGGAACTTGAACTAACATAAATACTGATGGAAGAAACAGTGGAGGTGCAGGATGATGGTATAGAAAGAATATGATGGACAGAGAGGGGAAGGGAACCCAAAGTAGGAGAAGGATTGGCACAGACAAGGACTCCTCTCTCATTAGAGATGGAAAAAGGAAGGAAGGGGTTTAGATGCGGGAATAATGAGGCTTTGGACTCTAGGTGACTCTTCACTCTCCCATCTTAGGATTCTATGAAATTAAATCATCGCAAAGTCAGTGGCTTTCTGTGACACCTTTCCTTGACCAAACTTTATTTACTTTTTTAAGATCTTTTTTTTTTAAGATTTTATTTATTTATTTGACAGACAGAGATCACAAGTAGGCAGAGAGGCCGTCAGAGAGAGGGGGAAGCAGGCTCCCCGCCGAGCAGAGAGCCCCATGCTGGGCTCGATCCCAGGACCCTGGGATCATGACCTGAGTCGAAGGCAGAGGCTTTAACCCACTGAGCCACCCAGGTGCCCCTAAGATCTTATTTTTAAGTAATCTCTATACTGAATGGAGGGCTTGACCTCACAACCTCAAGTTCAAGAGATACACACTCCACTGACTGAGTCAGCCAGGCCTTCCCACTTCTCCTTGGCCAAACTTTAACTCAGAGAAATGAATCTTTCATGAGAGACTCTCAGGCCATGGGAGGACTGCCAGTGGGGCAGTGGGCCCTTCCAGTGGTCTGGAACACCTATTGTCCTGTCCATAAGATGGAACTGGAAAAGCAGGACAAATATGTCCAATGTGACAACATAAGGTCAGATTAAGGTTGCAGCACCAAGTGCATGTTGGAACCAGATTTAGATCTCTCTTCCACCTGACCCCAGGAGCCATCTGCTCCACCCATCTACACTCATTCATTCTCTGACCACCTACAATGGCAAGGAAGTGGGAGAAATATTAAGACAACTTTTCATAGCCCTAAGCATGGAGACTTGGGATGCCATCTCCATTCCAGATCCACTCAGCCCCAGCACACCTCTGGGAAAAAACTGTTGGTGAAAAGAGTAATATCAGCAATAATAACAAGTTAGCAAATGCCTCCTCAACTTAATTAGCATGCCGATTGCCGATTGCCTGGTACATTGTAGGAAGAGGCCAATAAATGTAAATTGCCACCATCTTCTTCCTCCTTCCTCCTCCTCACCACCACCACTATCATCGTCCTCACTGTATGTCCAGGAACCATGTTATGTACTTATGTATTTATTTATTTTTAAAGTATATGTTTTTCCTAATTACAAAAGTAATAGATGGACAGTGTTAAAAAGTTCTAACAAGAAATGCATAACATAAGAAGTGCACATGTGCTGTGCTGGGAAGAGGGAAAGCACTGGGCTCATACCACCTTTGTTTACATTAGGGTTCTACTGATGCTAGCTGTGTGGTCCTGGACAGGTTGTTTGGGTCTTCTGTGCCTCAGTTTCCTGGTTTGTTAAGTGAGGGCAATCATAGTTCTTATGTCATAGAGTTCTTAGGAAGTTTTTTTTTTTTTTAATTTTTTTTAGAGAGAGAGAGTGTATGTGTGAGTGGAGGTGGGAGAGGCAAAGGGAGAGACAGAGAATCCGCAAGCAGATTTCCTGCTGAGCTGGAGCCCAACTTGGGCCTTGATCCCACAACCCTGAGATTATGACCTGAGCCAAAATCAAGGGTTGTGTGCTTAGCCGAGTGAGCCACCCAAGCATCCCAGGAAATTTAAATAAGATGATATATACATAAAGCACTGGGCACTATGTTTGGCACATAGTAAGCAGTCAATATAAGGTGGTTGTTATTGATGTTACTATTGTTGCTGTTCTGTAAAACTTTACAGAGTAAAATAACCAATATCGTAACTAATACTGATAGCTCTTTACATATTTTTAAGGTTTCCTTTCTCTCTCTCTCTCTCTATGATACGGGGTCCAAAATATGTATACTATTTCACATCTTTGTTCACATGACAGATATTCTAGATGATTCTCAAAACACTCCTACAAAGTACATATTGATAATACCATTATAAATGGATATTTGATATACACTCTCTGAAAGTGGCATCGTCACATCCCAAATGTTCAAAGGAAACCTCTGGAGCCTGGAATATAAGGTAGAGGTCAGCAATCTTTTCTTGCAAAGAAAGCCAAATAGAAATAGTCTGGACTTTGCAGACCATACGGTTCTGTTGCAACTACTTAACTTCATGGTTACAGTACGAAAGCAACTGTAGACCATATATGAAGGAATAAGGGTGACGGTGTCCCTATAAAACTTTATTAGTGGAGACCAAAATTTGAACTTCATATAATTTTCGCATGCCATGAAATATTCTTAAAGACTTTTTATTTTTTATTTGACAGAGATCACAAGCAGGCAGAGTGGCAGGCAGAGAGAGAGGAGGAAGCAGGCTCCCCGCTGAGCAGAGAGCCCAATGCGGACTCCATCCCAGAACCCTGGGATCATGACCTGAGCCGAAGGCAGAGGCTTTAACCCACTGAGCCACCCAGGCACCCCAAATATTCTTTTTCTTCTGATTTTTTCCAACCATTATTTTATTTTGTTTTATCTTAAAGATTTTATTTATGTAATTGTTTTAGAGAGAGAGAGAACAGGAGTCAGTGGGTGGGGGTGGACACAGGGAGAGGGAGAGAGAATCTCAAGCAGACTCTGCGCTGAGTGTGGAGCCCAACACAGGGCTTGATCTCACAATCCTGAGGTCATGACCTGAGCCGAAACCAAGAAGAGTTGGATGCTTCATAGACTGTGCTATCCAAGCGTCCCCAAACATTATTTTAAAATGTAAAAACCTTTGTTGGATTGCAGGTTGTACCATACAAAAATGCAACAGGTCGAATATGGCCTGTGGGTCATAGGGGGCACACTCTCTTGCCTTTCTGGAGCGCATTTGAAAATCGGAGAGCCAATGAAGTGTAGAAGTCATACCTTAACGTGCCCTTCCTGCCTTCTCAGTAGGAAGCACCTTTTCCTCTGATCAAAACGCCTTATCCCACCAAATCTGTTAAAATCCTTCTCGAGGTTTAGATCACACACTGCATCCTCTGTGAAACCTTCCCAAAATTCTTCTGAAGACATAAATGCTTGTTTCCTCCCCAGATTCTCTTCACACTTCTTTTATAGTACTGCATATGTACTTTTCACCTACCAGCACCCCTACTAGGCCTCAAACTCCTTGTGAGTTCAATTTATCTGATGTGCATCCGGAACGAGTTCCCTGCTTGGCATTTATGAGGGTTGGACTGAGTTAGAGCTTCATCCTCTCTATTGGGGGCAAGAAAGAGAAACACGTTAGAGCTAGTCTAGTGGGGAGGGAGTGAAGTTGGGGGGTAACTTAGAATCAGGAACACCTTAAGGAACTGAAGTCAGGAAGCCTCCACCAGAGCTGCAGCTGTGGTTTGGAAAGCAGACAACCAAGGACTCTCGCTCTCTCTCTCTCTTCCTCTCTTTCACTCCTTCAGGCCATGTGGACTCTCATCTGCTACTTCTCCAAGTAGGTTGATTTCATTACTTTTTTTTTTTTAACCTCAGGAGTTCTCTCAATGCTAGGGCTAAGAGAGATCAACTCGCTTCTGTTAAGTCCTAATTAAATTTCTGGGAGAGAGAATGTTACCGGCCAGGGGAGTTGGTTGCACGGTATAAACACAAGTGTCAGAGCTTCTCTGAGCAGGTGGCTCGGCAGTTATTCTCCGTGAATGGAAGGAATGTGTTGGGCAGGTACCTCAAATGCATGCACTACCTGGGTGCCTGGTTGGCCCTTTCAACTGAGTGTGTGACTCTTGATCTCAGGGTCATGAGTTCAAGCCCCACGTTGGGCCTACTTAAAAAAAAATGCCTGTGATCCCTGCTGACTTCCTTTATCTCAGGATGGCTGGTGCTGTGGTTACTTTTAAGCATCTCTCTCTTTTCCTCTATCTAGATGGCGCACTGCTTTAGAACAGAGACAGTCATACTGGTTTTGGTGGCACAAGTCCAAGCATAGTGTTTTGCACACAACAGGTAATAAGAAATGCTTATTGAATGGAATTGAAAATACCACCTTCTATTCAGTCTTCACCACATCTTTCATCTTTATGAAAGGTACACATTCCATTGCTAGGCAAAAGACATGTGGCATAAAAGATAAATTTCCTTTTCCTGGCTTCAGTGTTTTTTTATTATTATTATTAAATTGTCTTTAGCTCAGATAATTGCATTATTTCCATTCCAGGTTTCCAGAGGTCAAACAACCTCAGGTCCAGACGTACTACGAATGCAACTGTAATAGTTTCAGAGCAATTATCTCTTTCCAGCTTTGCAGGGCGGAACAACTCAAACTCTGGAGCCAGGCTAGTAAGAAATCCTTTTATATGTCCCCCTCTCAGAGTCAGCCCAAAGGGAACTCACGGCCACTTGGAGCGGAGCATTATGTAGCTGTAGCTGGTGGCCCAGGGAGCTGCTGCCTGGGCTGCCTTCTAAGCAGGCCTGGAGCAGCTGAGTGACCCAGATCATACCTGAATCCCTCTGCCCTGAACCAAGGCGAGGGAAGCCCAGCACCCGAGGGCAGTCAGGGGAGGCAGTCCTTTCCTGGCTGTCTGTGTAACTGCTAGAGAGTTTCCCTCCAGTGTGATTACAGCTCCTCTGATCTGCTCCCTTGGGGAAGAAGTTGGCTCATTGTTTACCAAAACCGTTGCTCCCACTGGTAGTTCTGCTGCCTCTTTCTGTTCTGATGAGCTGCAAGCTTCGTAGAGAAGCAGACCTCAGGGATGGGGCATTACAGATAAAGCCCTGGCCAAAGTCCGCTGTTCCAGTTTGTGCCTTCCTTGCCTGGGCTAACCTCAATTCCTCAGAACTTTCCCAGGGCCATCTAAGCTCCCTTCCACAACCTGCTTAGAGGAGAGGGAGAAGGGACGAACTGGCTTTTCTGTCCCACTGACATGTCAATTGTGTTATTACACATACACTTTGTTCCTAACGGACGTTCTACAACCTGCAGAGTTGGGATGCTTACTAATGCCAATCTGGGCCCATCTTTCCCCCAGAGGACTGTGCATGAGGGCACCCGCGTAGGTGCCTGGTCTCCCCTTGACGAGCACAGGACTTCAAGTTATCATCAGTTCATCCACTTAAATGACAATCATAAACATGAATCAAACACACAGGAACTGACTATCCTTCATCATTTAATTAGGGTCTGCTGAAAGCATTCAGAGGTCCTTTGTAACATTTAGAGCTTTTCCAGAAATTTGCCTGGGAAAAAAAATAAGATGAAATAAATGTGCTTTGAAAATAGTGTGATAGTGTGTTTAAAAAAAATGGTGTGTTAGGACCTTGGGGCATTGACTCTGGTGGCCGCTTCCAGAATGGTTATCCTCTCAACCACCCCACATGGAGCCCATCCTTCTGATTCATTGTCGTTTAGATTGAAGGAAGAAGCTGTAGTCACTCCTTCCGTGGGAGAGGGGATTTCTGTTCCTTGCTATGTGATGATCTGTTTCCACCTGCCACCTCTCACCGGAGCTTGGGAATGTGAATCTCATGTTAATATATATATATTCAAACTTAAGTTGGGCTCCCTGGAATATTTTTGGCCTGTAAAATGGAAGTTCTCGATTTTCTGCATGTCTCTTAAAGTCTGGGGAGACTGACTGCGGATTACCTGCCTGCTTTGTTCTTTCTCCCATACTGAACCTTTTGGCCACTTAATGCTCTTCTTTGACCTGAAGCTCAGCTGAGAAGAGACGATGAAATTTCGACTAATAATTTTTAAGCTCCAGAACACGAGTCTGCCGTAATGCTTTTCTGAGATGCTTGTACTCCGGATTACTTTGAGGGATCTTTTCAAACAGTATTTTTAAATAATAACCTCATCTCTCCAAGATGTTCTGTATGGAAAATATATTCATTGAGTGTTTATGTTTACAGACTACAATTCACATGGGAAGCTAATAAAGGTAAAGCAAATGATGATGCAATTAGTACGTACTTTCAATTACCCGTGGTTCAGAAAAATCAATGGCAAGATAGACAATATAGAGCAGTAAAGAGCAGGGGTTTTGGGTGAAAAAGAACCACATTCGGACGTCTTGTATTTACAAGCTGCATGACCTTGGGCAAAGCTCTTAATCTCACCAAGCCTGTGAAATGAAAACAAATATCACATCTAATGTTTGTTGATTACTTTCCGTGTGGGCACTGCGCTAATTATGTCATGTGCATTCATCATCTCATTTCATCCTCGAAATAATCCCATGAGGAAGGCACTATTAATATCCTCGTTTTGCAAAGGAAGAAACTGAGACTCAGAAAGGTGGAGCAATTTGTCCAAAATCACAGAGTGATTGTAACTCACTGTAACTCAAGACCAGGCCTATCTGGCTATAGAGACCAAGTACATAAGCACACTGTATTGTGTTGCTGTAGCAGGGACTTGTGACAATTAAATGAGATACTGGATATAAACAGAATGCCTGACACAGAGTAGTGCTCTTATCATCACAAATTTTTACCTATCACTGGCTAAAATTTGTATAGCCCTCTCCTCTTTATAAAGCCCATTGACATGGGAACTCATCACTTCATGATACTGTGGGAAGTATCATAAAATCGTGGCTCAGAAAGGTTAAAAGTCTTGACCACGATCATTCAGCTTGTAAGTACATCACATTGGGACTCATGTCTTTTCATTCCAGAACCCAGTAACTTCACCCTGTCTTTTAATCATGGGGGCGGAGGGAGGTAGCTATATTTTTATGTAATGTGATATATTTAATTTATTATTAGGAGAAGTGGCTATTTTCAGATCAGGTAAGTTCTAATCTTGCCTGCTTCTAAATTGCTGCTTTATCTTGCTAAATCTTGAAACTTGGTTCCTGATTTTCTGCTTGATTCTCTCCTTCATGTCAGATAATTCACCTTCCAGAAATGTGGAGGAGAGAGAAACCTCTTTTGTCTGACTCCCACATTTTCCCCCACAATTAAATATGTACAGGTAGATAGATATCAAAGTATGAATGGGCTGGGTTTTTAGCGTTAATTTGTAAGTTGGGTGTTCAGTTGGCTGAGCATCTTTCCCTCATGAAAACCATGTTTTAAATGGAACTAAGCCCCATATTGACCCCATAGGAAGTTACTGTGAGCACTTGCCAGATGCAGGGAAAGGGGAAGGTGGAGGAAGATGAAGCCAGGGTCCTTCTTCCTTTATTTTTAAATTTTTATTATTTTTTTAAGATTTTATTTTTAAGTTATCTCTATACCCAACATGGGGCTCAAACTTACATCCTTGAGATCAAGAGTTGTGTGCTCCCCCAATGCAGCCAGCCAGGTGCCTTTATTATGTCCCCACCTTCTAATAGTTTATGACATCTCCTGGTGCCTGCTTATCTTCTCTTGCTCTAAGCAACCCCCACATCAGACCTGCCTGACACCAAGACTCTTCTCAATTCTAAAACTATCTACTCGCTTCCCCTTTCCACTTCACTCTCTAACCTAAATGGCCATTTGATATGAATTAGATATTCGGAGGAAAGTAGTCTAACGAAATAATTCACACTAACGTGTGAGCGGCTAATTTTCTTTATCCTCTCTAGGGCGTTTTCTTTTTAAAAAGATTGTTAATATAGCAAGTGACGTTGTCATTGTTGGGAATTCCAGCAGTGAAACAAAATAAAGTGAAAAATAGCTATTACGTAGAAGGTATTTTGGAAGAGGCATGCCATAATTTAGGTAGACCAGTCCAACAAGGGTCTTTCTTGCTCCATCCCTTCGTTTCACGACCCTCTCCGGCACACATATGCATGAGCCCAAACACACATCTCATCAACTCCCTTGGCTTTTTGTCTTTTCCTCATCAACTGGACACTTACCAGGATGACAGTGTTTTAGGACTGGAGAAGGTGCTAGATCTCATGGCATCAGCTCATTTTATAAATGGAGAAACAAAGCTTGGCCGGAAGAGCCTGGTTCCCATCCCTATGAGTGGTAAAATAGCACTAGAACCCAGGTCTACCCAAGAATTCAGGGTATTTTCTTCCATACCCTGCAGTTAGCATTCAGAAGTCTTGTAAAATAAGCTGAGAACCACTCGAGCAGTAATCTTGTTCACTTATCTACTTGGATTTCCTTTTCTTCACTCTTTGGACTTGGCAGGCGGAAGCCATCAGTGCTGGAGGCAAGAGAGTCCGACCTGGTGTTCCTACCAACATGTTCTGACCCAGAGGCTGAGGATGCGCTGTCCTTGCCCAGGTGGGGCTGCAGAGGAATTAGAGAACTGGGTCTGTTTGTGGGCCTGGCACAGGCTTTCTTCTCCAATAGCTCCTCATGGAGATGCCACATGAAGACACTAGCATTGTTGTTGCCCCTCTCTGCTCTCTCTCACCAAGAATTTAGGTTTTCACTCTAAAGGTTAGAAGGGCTCTTCACTTCCTTGGGCTACCTCACAGAGCACAGCACAGCCGAGGGGTGGAGGGCATGGGCTCTGGAGAGGCAGGCTGCCTGGAGCTACAGCTCAGTCACGCTTTCTGCCTCAGTGAGCTTGGCACTTCACCAAACCTCCTCTGTGTCTCAGCTTCTCCATCTAGAAAATGGGAGCAATAACTGCTTGTACCTTATGGGGTTGTTTAAGAGAGGAAAAAGCTTCATCAATGTCACCTGCTGTCATCATCGTCAGCAGCAGCAGCAGCCACACCTTACAGGTGTTTTTAGTTTGCTTTTATTATTTTTTTTTTTAGGAAGGGAAGACTTCTTGGCCTACGCTGCCTTTCCCCATTGCCCAGCAAATCTCCAAATCGCATGGTCATTAAAGGTTAAGTTGACCCTTCGTGCAATTCTTGCCTAAAGGCCTCATTGTGAATAGTGAGTCATCATCGCTTAGAAGTGGACGGTGAGTCAGTAGTCTATTAAGGGGAGGTCAGAAGGTCCCCTGGCTCAAAGCGAGAAACCCAAACCCAACCTTGGGTACAGAAAGAAACAATGCGTTTGTATGGCTGAGTGGGGTGCTGTGGAGAACCTGAGCTAGGCGGTCAGAGGACATGAGGTGGTGGGTAAATACTGGGACTTTGGAATCACACAGGTCTGAGTATGATCTGAGCTCCATGGCTACATTGCTGTGTGACCTCGGGGAAGTTATTGAACCTCTCTGTGCCTCATTTTTTAGCATCTGGACATGGAGACGGTCTTAAGAGAAATGACTTCATGGTATAAATGTTTGGGAATGTGCTAAAAATTAAGTAAATACTCAATCAAAAGTAGTTAATATTCTCACAATCAGCATGAATGAAAGTCAGGGTAGACAGTTGTAGGGATCAGCCATAATGGAGAAGCAAACTAAGGGGTAAAGTCAGCAGGAACAAGGATGTGTCTTTGATACAGT